GGTTCCCCAGCCCGGTGTACCGCCAGCAGAGCCGGGGCAGTGCGGCGGGCTCACCACCCCCTTGCTGGGCGGTATCCTCGAGCGTGGCCGCTCCTCTCCCTTCCTGCCTGCCTGCCTGCTGCCTGCCTGGGAAAGGAAGGAGAGGCAGGGCCGGGCCCTGCAGTCGTGTGTCCCCAACGCCCCAACCCACATCCACTCCCTGGCTGAATCCCAACCGGTCTCCAGCTCCAGCAGCACCCAGGGGCTGGGGTGGCGCAGGGCACTGCCCACGGGGCAGGGGGTGCCACAGGTGCCGGGGCTCAGCATCATCCATGGTGAGTTTGGGGGCTCGGAGGGGGGAGGGACCCCTGTGCCGACCCCGCAGCTCGTCCCTGCCACCCTCCCTGCCCACCCAGCGGATGCTGGGGCAGCACTGGGCACTTGGGGAGTACAGGAGGTGGCATCTGCCCACATATCTGTGCAGAGGCACTGGACATTGCTGCCTGCGTGTGCTGGGGGAACTGGAGACCCCCATGGCTTCCTGGCACAGGAGGTGGGATGGGTCCTGGCACAGGACCTCTCCCTGGGGACGCGATGTGGCCGGTGCTTGCTGCAGATGCTGAGGGTCTGAGGAACAAGGGGGGAAAGTCAGCCTTGCGGTGGGGACACAGATGTGGCCCCGGTGTCCCTTGGTGTGCACGTGGAGCCGGTCCAGTCCTGGCAGGGACCATTGCCCTACCGGGGCATTGCCCGTGGGCTGCGCTGGGGCCACATCCTTGGTCCCCTGTTGATGCTGGCGGTGGGGACACTGGAGGTAGCGGAGCCCCGGCAGCAGGGTGGGAACTGTGGGATCCCCCTGCCTGGCTCTGGGTGCTGGCAGGGCTGGACCCTCCTTGCTGCTGTCTCCCTCGGGCTGGTGCTGGCCTGGGGGGGACAGGAAGCCGCGTAGGAAGTGACTTCAGCCCCGGTTCCTCGGCCCGGCTTCCTCCCCATTCTTGTCCTCTCCCGCTGTTGCTCTTGGCAGGAGGACCGTGCCCGTCCTCCGGCCCCATTCCTGGCACATGGCCAAGCTTGCCGAGAGCCGCCCCGACGCCCCTGCCATGCACTGCCCTGTTGATGCCTTCAGCCTCTCCTGGCCCTCGGGGTGTGATGTCAGGTGAGACCCCCGACCCACCCCTGGGGGCACCCATGGGACCGCACAAGGGGAGGGGGCGAATGGGGCACCCGCTTGGATCGGGGCAGGGCGTGTGTGGGGTGGGTGCTTGCTTGCTTGCCCCATGCCGCTGTCGGGCATCACCCCCCCCGTGTCCTGCCACTGTGCTGCCCTTTCCCCTGCCTGTTTACTCACTGGCTCCCGGCAGGAAGGGGTGGTGGCTCCGCCGGAGCCGGCCAGGAGTTGCCAAGTCCCAGTGCCCCCCCTGCCAGAGCGGGCAGGTCCTGAGTGGCCGGAGCCATGCACGCCCTGTGTCTCTGTGCCCTCTCCCCCTGCCAGCACTGGGGCAGCCTTGGTGCTGCCCCCAAACCCAGGGGTGAAGGGCAGGTTGGGGCTGCACCAGCCTGTGCCCCACTGTCCTGGGGGGGGTGTATGTGGTGGGGGGTGTTGGGATCTCGTGCCCATCAGAGGGGCTGATGGGGAGCTGGGTGGGGGACAGCAGGCGCCCCTAATGCCGGTGTGGGTCTGGGTGGCAGCGAGCTGTCCCTGCAGTGGAACCCGCTGTCCCGGCACTGCAGCACCGACCGGAGCAGCTCCATCGGGAGCATGGAGAGCCTGGACCAGCCCGGCCAGGCCTACTATGAAGGGGACCCCTCACCCGTTGACCAGGGCATGTACCACAGCAAGAGGGACTCAGCCTACAGCTCCTTCTCCGCCAGCTCCATCGCCTCTGACTGCACCCTCTTCCTGCGCCCCGAGGAGGCCACCTCTGTTGACTCTGGCCTCCAAGGCCCCTGCAAGCCCCCCGACGGGCGCTACCTGACCACAGGGGCTGAGCCGCCCACCAGCCGGCACCCCGAGGCCTGGCGGGCACCCATGCCTCCCCAGCCCCCCGTCAGGAGGGACAGCCTGAGGGCAGCCCTGGCCAGCGGAGGGGACAGGCACCGGGCATCGGTGTCGGCGGACATGCTGCACGCCAAGGGCCGGTGGATCTCCGACACTTTCCTCTGCCAACGGGCCGGGGAGGCAGAGGCAGCGGGCAGGAGGACACCAGTGCTGTACCCCATGAAGGACCGTCTCTCCGCTGACCAGTATTACATGCTGAGCTCCCACCCGGACCAGTGCCCGGCTGAGTCGCTCCTGGGGGAGAGTGCAGAACCTGGCGACCGGCTATACCCGGATGGCGGCGTGCAGCGAGTGCCGGATGCCACCGTGGCGGGTGACAACCTCCTGCTCTCCCCCCTCAAGGCCCATGCACTGCACCGGCACAGTGCTCCTGAGCAGCTGCTGGCCTCCCAGCTCCGCTCCCTCCAGGTGGGCACCGGTAGCGGGCGAGCCTCGCCGGCCCCCGATGGGCACCGCTGGACCCTTTCCCCGCTGCACCCTGAAGGCAGCCGGCCGGGGGCCACGGGGGCCACCCAGGATCCCCCGCTCTGCCCGGAGCCATGCCGCCGCCTGCCACCCTGCCGCTGCTGCCCTGAGCCACAGCGAGCCTGCGGGCAGGATGGGCAGGGGGCCAGCCCAGTGCGCAGCACCGAGGGGCCAGCAGAGGAGGAGAGCCGGGCAGGGGGCCGGCGGGCTGGGGGTCCTCCCCACCGCTCTGCTCAGATGCGCCGCCGCAGTGACCGCTTTGCTACCAGCCTGCGCAATGAGATCCAGCGGCGCAAGGCCCAGCTGCAGAAGAGCCGGGCTCCTGGCGCCCCACCACCTGGTGAGGAGCCAGTGGAGGAGGCAGATGAGCCCCCCGAGGTCAGCATGCCGGCAAAGGGACCCTGTGCCCCAGCCGAGTGTCTCAGCCCCGCGTCGAGCGAGGATGGCAGGAACCCCAGCCACTCGGGGGACCGGGGCATCCCCACCCCTGACCCGCTGCCAGTCCCCAAAGGGCCCCCGTCCCCTGAGCGGGTGGTGCTGATGGGCCGGGGCCGCTGGCGCTGGTCCCCGGAGCGCAAGCTGCAGCGGCAGTGCTCTCGCCCAGTCCCGGCGAGCTGGAGGGCTACAGCCAGGGGCCCCCCAGCTCCCCGCCGCGGGGCGGTGATGAGGCCGTCCTCCTGCCCTTCGCCGACCGTCGCCGGTTCTTCGAGGAGAGCAGCCGGCCAGCGCTGCCCCGGCATGGCAAGCCCCTGGTGGGTGATCCTGGCGCCTTCCAGCCCCCTGGCCCTGAGCACCGGGATGCCCGGCGCCTCTCCGTGGACCAGCCCTACGGCTCCCCCTCTCCAAAAAAAATGCCACCCCCTACACTGAGTGCTGCCGAGAGCAGCCCCCGTGCTACAAGCTGCTGGGGAGGCCTGTGGAGCTGGAGTACCTGCGGGGCTTATCCTATCCCTACGGGGGTGCCCTGCGCTCTGAGCCCTGCCGCTACTGCGGGGGGGACCTATGCCCCCCGACGCTGTCCTGCGGCCATGCCTGCCGCTGCCACCACCAGCCCTGGGTGCGCTGCCCCGACTGCTGCTGCCCGGCCTCCCGCCCTGGGCGGGAGGAGAGCGATGCCTGGTCCCACCGGAGAGCTTTCACCCCGGTGAGTGAGCGCCCCAGGACTGTGCTGGGGAGCAGCACTTGCACCACCCTGCACCCCTGGAGCATGACCCTGGATTGGGGTGGGGGGTACTGTGCTCACGGGGGGCCCTGCAGACCCCCTGCATGCCTACTGCGCCCGGATGGGGATGGGTCAGGGGGTGTTGGGGAGCTTGGGTGCTGGGGAGGGGGATGCTAACCCCGCTTTCACGGTCCCTCTCCTTCCCCCATGCAGGAATTTCCTCTGGATGAGTGGGAACAGTCAGCAATAACTAGGAAAGCCAGCCAGTCCATAAGGTGAGCCCGTGCCGGGGTGCTGGGATGTGCATGCCACTCGGTGAGGACCTCTGCCAGTGAGGTGTGGGGACTGCTGTGATTTTGGTTGGTGATGTACAAAGCACCTCCCTTAATGCCCCGGCCACAGCCGCGCTGTGCCCTGTGAAGCGGGGGTGTGTGCCACCTTGGGCAAGCAGGGCCCGGGGATGCGAGGAGGTGCCCATGTGGGGGGTGGGTCCCTCCTTACCTATCCCCAGGTGGCTGAGGGCATGTCTGGTGGGCTGTGCCCAGCATGGGAGCACCAGGAGAGCCCGGGTTTCCCACGTCAGTGGGGCTGGGTGACTCCATGACTCCACGTCATGGGGCTGGGGAAACTGAGGCAGGGGTGGGCATAAGCTGCCAGGGGGGTGACTGTCTGGCGGGGATGGGTGCTCCCTTCTCTCCCCAGTGAGCTCTCTCGCTACCAACTGGGCTTCCCAAGGCTCGGCCCCTTCCGCCCCTGCTTTGAGAGCACCGAGCCGGAGTGGCCGCCCTGCTACCGGGCCACGTCTACGCACGACCTCTCACGGGATGGTGACCGCCTGGCCCGCTCCCCTGAGAGCCCCCCGGACCCCGTGCACCGCCCACTGCGGGGCAGAGCCTTCTCTGAGAGCCACCTCAACCTGGAGCCCCCCAGCCCCTGGGGCCTCGACCGGAGGAACCTTCTCCGTGCCAAGCTGGAACCCCCTGGAGTCCCCAAAAAGAAGGGCCCACCACCTCCACGCCCACCTCCCCCCAACTGGGAGAAGTACAGGCAGCGCCGGACGTCCCAGCGCCTGCCAGATGGTTCTGGGCACAGCTCTGCCTTCACTGCCGCCCCAGTGCCGACCCGCAGTATTGCTGAGGCTGTGCGTGAGCGGTCGCAGAGCCTCACCGGGGAGCTGGGGGGACGGTCAAAAAAACGCCCGGGTGGCCCCTCAGTGTGGCGGGGCCTGGGCTTGAGCGGTCGCAGAGCCTCGCCGGGGAGCTGGGGGTCCCAGGGGCATGCCACTCCACTC